CGCTCCAACCTGCGCGCACACATGCAGACGCACTCCGCCTTCAAGCACTTCCAGTGCAAGCGCTGCAAGAAGAGCTTCGCGCTCAAGTCTTATCTCAACAAGCACTACGAGTCAGCCTGCTTCAAGGGCGGCGCCGGCGGCCCCGCAACCCCTGCGCCGCCGCAGCTCAGCCCGGTTCAAGCCTAGGGCAGCGGGGCCTCCGCTAGCCAGGTCGGCTCTCAGCAATACGGGGCCCCCCCAGGGAAGTCTCCGCTGGCGTCCGGGCCGAGGGGCTGGAGGGCGGGCCCCTCCTCACAGCAATAGGGGTAGGGAGCCGGCCCCACCCCGCCCCGCTCGCCAGGAGGCTTGCCAGCCCCTTCAAGCAATAGGGTCCCGAGGGGAGACCCATCCTGAAACCCCTCCCCTCTCCTCCAGGGTGCCCCAGGCTTTCTCCCAGCAATAGGGTCGACCAGACCCAGAACCGAACCTCATCTCTTAGTTGGGTCTCTGAAGACAGGGGTGAGGTGAGGTAAGGAGCACCCTCCTCCCTCCTCTGCGCCCCTGGATCGCGTTGCAGAGACTCAGGTCTTCCCCACCCTTTCCCAAGCCTTCCAGGCCAAGCAAGCCTTCAGCCCAGCGTCCAGGGAGTCAGCTCCACCCGGGCAGCTGGCTGGAGGAGCAGGAGAGCAGGCGGGCCACAGAGGCGTTCTGTTCCACAGGCTTTGCAGACCTCCCGGGAGTGCTAGACGATTTGGGGATGGGGAGGGGCGCGGACGGCGGCAACCCTCTCCCTCGGGTTCTTTCTGGGGCCTCAGTCCGAGCCTCCCTCCTACCCTCACCTCGCATCCTTTGCCAAATCCGAATTCTTCCAGCCCGGCTTCCGGGGCTCTGTCCTCCATAACGAATAATAATGACGCATATCGGAATCGCATGAACTTATCCGACCTACTCAGACCCCGATCCCACCCTGCCCCGGGGCCCCCTCCCTCGCTCCCCAGGCTTCGGGTGTTGGAGGACGGATGCCCGGGCCGGCAGGCTGGCGTGCCACTGCCCTCTACACACCTCTGTATTTGCTTTGCGGGTAAAGCCCCCTGGGGGCGGGGGTTGGGGGCGCGTGGGGTTTCTTTCTTTCTGTATTTATACGTTTTATTTATGAACGGATTGCACTCGGGTCAGGGAGGGGGCGCCGAACCCTCATTCTTCCCGCCGACGCCTGGGGCTTAGGTTGTCCTGGACCACTTCCTCTGCCCCTGAGCTTTGCCTCACAGAGGCCGGCCCTTTCCCGGAGGCCCAGGCCCCGCCCCACTCGGTCGCCAACTTTCACCCGTCTATGCCAAAGCCTCGGCGGTGACCCTACCCCAAGGGCCCGCCCTATTGGCCGCCGCCTTTGTGACATCACTGCATGCAGTCCCACCCTTCTTCCCGACCCTTCCCGGGGCTGCCCGCTCCCCTTCTTAGTTAGTCCGATGCAGACTATAGAGCAATAATGCGCACTGCATGTGAAGCTGCCGCAGCCTCTAGAGTTACTGAGAATCAGGTATCCCCTGCCCTACCCATCCCATAGGCCCCTAGATCAGGGATGCTGCGCGGGGCCGGCCACGCAGACTTTCTTTCCCCATTCCTTATCCCAGGGCAGAGCCCGGCAGGCGTCATGGTTCCAGAGACTGGAATGGAATGGTATCAACCACAGCCTCTCTGTCAGTCCTTCATCACTCACCGACTCATCATTGGGTACCTACAATATGCCAGGCCCATTCCTGAAACCGTCAGAGATATGGCAACCTTCGGGGAGGTGCCTGTCAGTGACAGGGGCCCAACAAGCTTGGGTAGGCCAGAGTGGAAGGCAGTTGCAGAGGGCTGGATCCCTGGGCCCATATGGCCTCTCCTACCCACCTCAGTCCCCGTTTATGCTGGATGTAGTCAGGCTCTGCCTTTGACTTGGGCCTTATGTTCCCAGCTCAAATCGGACAGGTCCTAGGGTCTCCGGGCCCAGCTTCACCAGGGCCACCCCTACAGGTACCCATTTTTTGATTCCCTGAGATACGAGGCTCTGCTGTCTCTGTGCTGCTAAGGTCCAACAAGCTGGAGTATATGGTATGGCCAGCCTCATCCCAGCACCAAGCTTGGCTACCCTCCTGGTGCGGACCCACAGGCCTAGCATAGCAGTGCCCATATCCAACCCTCTTACTCCATCTGGCGAAATGCCCACAGTTCCTAGCCTGGGCCTGCCAGCCTGTGCCGCATGCACACGCACACAGAGGCGCCCACCCCTACCCCACTCCTTACTCCTGTCTACCTACCTATGGAGAAGGCTGGAAGGGTTGTGGGCCC